GTCAAACGTCCAATTGAAAAGTACTTTAAAATTACCATTACACAATATAAAAAAGATCGACATTTTAAGTCACATTCATGATAATTACGAAATTCCACTATGCTACTTGTATTTGAATATAATTTGAGAGAAGTTAAAATTAATTACAACACAATAAATAGTCAATAAAAGATCGTATAACAGCAGGAGTGGTGGTGATTATAAATTCATCAAGGAGCATTGTTAAACAATTGAAATTGCATGTTTTAGGTCAATTTTCAGATTATTATTCAAATTAAAGATGAAATTGTTTACGTTTGATAGATTTAGCACATTATTAGTGAATTCGATATCAAATATAGGAATAGATATTATTAATTATGCAAATAAAGAATAACAGATTATTACTGTTGTTATTATTGAAGAATTGGCAGTGATTTATCAACTTTCATAAGCATAGGCATCCATTGTTATCATTATACATGAAGTTGAAATTAAAACCCCAAAGTCAAAATGTTTCAACTTGAGGCAACTACATAGTAAAAATCAGTTTCAACCTTATTTTGACCCTATTTCGACCAGATCTGCAAATGGTCAAAATAGTTTCAACTTCATGTATAGTTATCATCATCATCGTCATAGTCATCTTCATAATCATAATCATCTTTAAATTCTATATTAGTTTTAATGGGGCGATATAGGTCTCATCATGAGCTGGCATGATTGGAGCTTCATGCTCACATTCATCTTGATATATACTTTCAGGTGTAAACTACCTAATTAATCATTATTAAGACATCACCTTCTGATAATTGAATGTGCATCAACATCTTCGTGACGAATTATCTGATTCTGACTCATTTGTGTGTATAGAGTACATTAAATGACTGCTATCTGTTAAAGATTCATCGTCATACTCTGAATGATTTATTATTATTTATAAATGATAAATATCCTGATTTTATTAATGATATTGTAGAAATTTTAATCACCAGTTTGTGCATTAACATGCATACTTAATGATTCATTGTGAATTATTTGTTTTATTATTTGAAAGAGAAACAACAACTTCTTGTGATTAATATCATTTTCATGAGATAAAATTATATATTTTGTGTAGTTTTACAAGTTTTGCAAAAAACTATTAATTATACATGAAATAAAAAAGCAAGTTATGTGTTAATTATGCATAAATATTTTTTTAAATTAAATATTAATTGTTACTATTATTATGAGCTTTATTTATTGCAATGATTATCAATAGTTAATTTACGGCTCACTCAATAGAATTATCACCAAAAAAACAAAAGTATCCCATACAAATTTTTCAATATTTAATGTTGATCATGTGATATGTGGCAATTTTGGCAATTTTGGACACTATGTAATCCAATGATATCTTGTGCGATTTTGCTTTTATTATTATTTATTGTTGTTTAATTTTTTGATCTTGTATTACCAACAAACATTTTTTTCTTCCCATCTAACAAAAACTTCCCGATAATAATTAATATTATTGATTTTTATCAAGTATGTTTTTTATATTTTATACTATTATTTTTGTTGATGCTATTTATCATTATGTACTGTATATTCATCTAATATTATTATAATGATTGTTTTTAAAAAAACAAAGTATCATGGGAGTTTTTGTATCGGCCACCAGCCACCAAGAACAAAGCCAAACAAGTCAACAATCACAGTACTTATGTTTTATGTTTTATATTTTATATTTTATATTTTATTATTTTTGTTGATACTATTTATCTAATATTATTATTTTTTTTTTTTTAAAAAAAAAAGGATGGGAACGGACGGACGGACGGAAGGAAGGGAGCGTTAATTTGCACTACTGACTAACTAAGCCACGAATTGTGAAAAACCATTTTATAGAAATTTAATAGTCATGACCTCTTATTAATTTTTATTATTTATTTTATTTAGAAGGAAACATTTTTTAAAAAAAAGAGAAAAAGAGATAAAATTCATTAATCGATTTGATTGGTTACATTTGTAATATCAATCAGTAGTTGTTATAACAACAAACATAATATTAGTAGCAAACGATGACAACGAATTATCATTTCTTGAGGATATTTAGATCCAGTTTGTGTAGTAGTGATCGAAGTAAGTGTTAGGGATAAGATCTATGAAGCTTGCAAAATGTACTAACGAGTGTTTCATCAATTATTCAATAGTTTGTATAAGATCTATGAAACTTGCAAAATATATTAACGAACGTTTTATCAATTATTCAATATTTTGTATAGGAGTGATCGAAGTGATCGAAGTAAGTGTTAAGAACAAGATTTATGAACAAAATATACTAACAAACGTTTTATCAATTATTCAATATTTTGTATAGGAGTGATCTAAGTAAACGTTAAGAACAAGATCTTGAACAAAATATGCTAACGAACGTTTTATCAATTATTTAATAGTTTGTATAGGAGTGATTGAAATAAGTGTTAAGAACAAGATCTATGAACAAAATATATTAATGAACGTTTTATCAATTATTCAATAGTTGTATAGGAGTGATCGAAATAAGTGGTGTTAAGAACAAGATTTATGGGGCTTGCACTAACGAAAGTTTCAATAGTTTGTGTAGGGGTGATCGAAGTAAGTGTTAAGAACAAGATCTATGAACAAATTATACTAACGAACGTTTTATCAATTATTCAATAGTTTGTATAGGAGTGATTGAAATAAGTGTTAAGAACAAGATCTATGAACAAAATATATTAACGAACGTTTTATCAATTATTCAATAGTTTGTGTAGGAGTGATCTAAGTAAGTGTTAAGAACAAGATCTATGAACAAAATATATTAACTAACGTTTTATCAATTATTCAATAGTTTGTGCAGGAGTGATCGAAGTAAGTGTTAAGAACAAGATCTATGAACAATATATACTAACGAACGTTTTATCAATTATTCAATAGTTTGTGTAGGAGTGATCGAAGTAAGCGTTAAGAACAAGATCTATGAATAAAATATACTAACGAACGTTTTATCAATTATTCAATAGTTTGTGCAGGAGCGATCGAAGTAAGCATTAAGGACAAGATCTATGAACAAAATATAATAACAAACTTTTTATTAATTATTCAATATTTTGTGTAGGAGTGATCTAAGTAAGTGTTAAGAACAAGATCTATGAACAAAATACACTAACGAACGTTTTATCAATTATTCAATAGTTTGTGTAGGAGTGATCGAAGTAAGTGTTAAGAACAAGATCATTACGCAATTTAAGACAAAATAGTTTAATTAGAGTGAGAGAAATTTAGCTTCGAATGGAATCAAATGAATTTAAAGTTGATTCAAGTGTATATATACAGTCAAACCTTATCACAGTGTATGAATGGGATACATAAGGAAATTTTATTTATTGCCACAATGGATTTTTATGTGAAGCAAAATTTTAAAATCTATTATAACAAAAATTTGATTATAGTACACTGTGGTGAGGACTGCTGCGACAAGATTCTTGGGTAGTAGAAGTAGCTATCATAAAATCATCGTACTTATTGTATATTTAACATTAACAATAATAAAACTTTACACTTGTTACAAAATGTTTAATAATGATGATAATAATTACTTGATGAAATATCAAATGGTGATAATGATATATGAAATAAACAAAACATTAGACTTTAGGAATGTATTGGAAATAAAAATTTGGCATTTTATAATAATAATAAAATTATCACTTATGTTAACATGTCTAAATAGATCATGAAAACCTTTAAACTTTTGCTTCAAATACCAAAGCTAAATTATCAAATTTTAAAATATAAAGAAAATTAAAGCAATATATCAATATATCAATGTAAAAAAAAACAAGTTATAAATTAAACACTCTAGGTGAAAAAGTTTAAAATAATTACTTACTGGTTTCCATACAACATCATCAAAAAAAAAAGATTTGTGACAAAGCATTTGATCCAAACTTCCCAGGTTCTTTGATACTCAATTTCTCTAGGCCTCTGTCTCTGCACACAGCTAGGAGCCTTCCCAAAATAACTCTATTATGCAATTCTCACTTGACAGTGTTAATGCTAAGCACTGCTGGCACAAGCCTAAGATAATAAAATAAAAAGAATATATACAAGAAATACTTACAACTATACCACTTGAGGCATCCCTACAACCAACATAGAACAATCAAACAGGGGTGTTTCTAACTAATGATTAGTGGCCAGACCACTAACCATCAAAGAGGATCATGGAACAATTCACAATGGCTTTTCCTGTTAACTATGCAAAATTTGTAATAAGGTAGAATATGTTTATTTAATTATTAACAACAGGGGGGTGGGTATTTATTCAATTGTTATAGATTATTATGAATGTTATTAACATGATGATTTTCTCACTTGGTCTAAAACCAAGTCTTTTTATACCTCTTGAGGTATTACAAATAACATGACCTTTACAATATTTTGTCCAATAAAATATGCTTATTAATGCTAAATAAATATTAGGTCAACTGAGTATTACAAAATTATGATTAATAATTCAAAGTAAATATTTACATCGCTAAATAAGTTAATAAATATAAATATAGAAAGATGGTCATTAATCATCATTAGTGCTGATCCATTTATTTTAACATAGTACAATGCAAAAAGTAGATTAATTCACTATATAGTAAACATATCATTTTTTTTAGTAAAATAAATTTTTTTTTACTGATGATATTCTTAAAAATACTTTGTATTTCATAATAACTTATTTTTCTTTGAAAATTTTTTTTTTTATTTTTGTTATACACTCTTTATATTGTCCACCAAATCTTCCCACCGTCTATGGTGGGACAAAAATACTATAGAAATAGTCAAATAACTGATCTATAAACATAAATATATATATATATATATATACATATTTATAAAAATGAACCAAATTCAAGTCTAAGTATTTTAAACATAACTGACAACTTCTAGTTTCTTAATCTAATAGTTTTATTTTTTATTTTAAATTAGGATCAAATTATAAATAAATGCAATCTGTCAACATTATGAAATTATATCTGGTTTTTGGAGTGTTACTATTACAAAAAATAGAAGAGGATGAAGAGGATGGAT